TTCAAGGCCTAAGAGGGGTCAAACACCTCCAAACCACAAAACACTCTAAACAAATTATTTAGAGGGCCTAAAAAAAGAACTTTTTCATATTATACACCAAGCTCAAAAACAATTTTAAGATAGGTAAAAATACAATGCAAAAATGGAAAATAAATGGACTAGTTCCTTACCCTTGGTGACTTCCTTCACAAATGGTGGACCAGCTGGTTCTTCAAGCTCAGAACCACCCAAAAACACCAAGAACAACCTCTGGCCACTGAAATCCCTCAAGATTTCAGTGGTGAGGAGGCCCAAACACCAAAGTCCCGGAGCTCACTCAAAATAGCGCAAAATGGGGCCTCTCAAGACCTAAGAGGGGTCAAACACCTCCAAACCACAAAACACTCTCAACAAACTATTTAAAGGGCCTAAAAACAGAACTTTTTTGTATTATACACCAAGCTCAAAAACAATTTTAAGATAGGTAAAAATACAATGCAAAAATGAGAAATAAATGGACTAGTTTCTTACCCTTGGTGACTTCCTTCACAAATGGTGGACCAGCTGGTTCTTCAAGCTCAAAACCACCCAAGAACACCAAGAACAACCTCTGGTTCTTCAAGGAACTAAGAAAAGGTGAAACACTATGTGTTTGTGTGCAATAGTAAGACACAAACACACTTAAACACACACAAAGGTAAAAAGAGAGAGAGGTATAGAGATAGAATGTGTATCAATCCTAACCCTAGAACTCAAAACCCTAATATGGCTATCTAAAATCTCTAAAGTGTCTCCAACCCCAAGCAAGGGAGAGAAGGGCTCCTCTTATAGAGCTTTTTGTCTTGTAAAGCTTACAAGACAAGCTTCTAAAGAGAGAGATCCCTCCATACACGTGTATGGAGGGGAGCCAAATACAAGACAGCTGTAATAAAATATCTGCAAAAGCAGATGAACAGTAGTTGGCTGCCCAAAAATGTCATTTTGGCAAAATGGGGTGCCGACCGGCAACAAAGAATGCCGACCGGCAATATATATTGCCGATGGCAGCAAAACACCAGCCGGTGGCCTCTGGCCGTGGCCTCTGGCCATGGCCGGTGATGTGTGGGGATGCCTCACAAGGCATTCCCTACCCCTCCAAGGCAAAACACAAGTGTTTGGTGCAAAACCAGACACTAAACAGTCGAGTTCGGAGATCCTGAGGCAAGGCGCGTAGCCGAGACCTCCGGGAACTCCAAACGAACACAAACATGGATGATCACCGGGTGTTCAAACGGTGACGTCCAAGTCTTGAGGACGGTCAAAAATGGGGTGTCTACATATGTAAATTTATGTTTGTAGGTCAAGACTTAAAGACTGACCAATCATTTCTGGAAGCCCACTGTGAGTAACATTTCTGTAAAGATATGTTGATATGAATTATGTTCCAAACGAGTTATGATATGTTATGATTTTTGTAATGATATTGTTTATGTGAACGAATGTCCCATGTTTGAAATCTATTATGGCATCCATAGATAGTCCTAAGTCATGGGAGACGACATGTAAATGTGGGTCCATGACATAATTGTGAATATGAGATCTCGTTAGCCACTTTATCGTGGTGATATGTGTTTAATCGGTATCCGGAACCGATTACTCTAGTTGGAAGACGATATGTAATATGTTCTATGAGATGTACCATTATGTTATGTTCTGATATGAGACTGATATGAATGATTGTGTCATGCTTGGTTTTACGGATATGATATATTTGGAATTCATTCACTAATCCCTTTACTTTAATGTTATTCACTGGGCTCTAGCTCACTGTTTTTATATATATACATATATTTATAGGTGAGCGTTCTGGAGGGCAAGTGTACGAGGGTTTTTACCGAGCCACTGTTTTGAAACCTACCAAGTGTTTTGGATGCCTCCAAGTTGGGGCTAGGCCTGGAAGCAGTTAGCAAGCTTTGGGTTATGTTATACATTTTTGTCCCGTACATATGTTTTTTTGTATAAGATATTGTGTTATATGTTATGTAATGTAAGTGGGTAAATTAACGCTTTTGCATGTGATTATTTGTTCATGTAGATGCACCGCTCGTTGGACTATTGGTGTTTTGTTTATTGCTTCCGCAAGTCCCGATTATTTTGATTATACAGGAAGGCCTTCGGTAATCCAAGGATTACTGGCCGGTTACGATGCTAAACCTATAGGGGCGGGTTTGGGTCGTGATAGAATGGTATCAGAGCACGAGTTAATTTACCCACACACGTGTCTATATGAGCTATAGGGTGTCCTAGAAAAGAGAGAGAGAGAAAAGGAGAGGGGAGAGAAAAATAATTTTAAAAAGAATTTTGAAAATTGATTAATCAAACATTTTTTTTTTAGTTTTTGATTCACATGTTAATTTAAAATCAAAACCAAATGATAGCTTAATTTTTAAAAAACCAATGTAAACAACAAAATCACATAATTTCTCATTATACCTCCCTCACTAACTTTACAAACTCTTCCAAATTCTTTTTAAATCCCATAATAAAAGTTAGAGAGACCAATTGTATGGAACAAAGATAATTTGAAATGAAAAATAAAAGAAATTTCCATCACATAGTGAAAGCTAAAGTAACTAATCATGTGAAGAGATAGAATAAATTTGTTCACACTATGTGTGAATGATTTCCACCATTCTTTCCACATGAGCATAGACTTGGGTACCATTGCATGATAACTTTCATGTCTTTCCTATGAATTCTTATGCCTCATTTGGGAACAGGTTAATTTAGTAATTTTTTGGCTATTTGGCTAAAATATAAGCTAAAAAACATTAGTATGTTTGGGATGACTTTTTGACTTTTTACGAAAAGATGTGCAAAAAGTAGAGAGAAAAAAGAATATTTGACTTTTTAATATAGATTGTTGGCTTTTTGGCTAATTTAGGCCTTGTTTGGCAAGAGACTATTTTAGCCAATTAGCCAAAAAGTTACTAAATTAGCCAAAAAGCCAACAACCCATACCAAAAAGTCAAAGATTCTCTTTTCTCTCTACTTTTTGCACATCTTTTCGTAATTAGCCAAAAAGTCATCCCAAATATACAAGTTTTTTTTACCTACCTTTTTAGTCAAATAGCCAAAAAATTACTAAATTAGCCTATTCCCAAACGAGGCCTTAGTAACTTTTTGATTTTTTAGCTAAAAAGGAGGGTTCCCAAACGAGGCTCTAAGAATTCTAAAAGAAAAATTTGCTTTATAAACTGCATATCCACCATGGTTGTGATTGAACATGCAACTTTGTCAAATTAAATTAAGATTATATTAATTTTCATAAAAAATTTGGATAATAAAATGAGATATTGGAGAAAACAAAATTATATTTTATGAAATTATAAAATAATTTTGATAGATAAATTGCATTATTGATATAAATTAGATAAATGATTTAATTAAAGATTTTATCCCCATGCAATCATTAGTTTTGTGATATTTAAAAATATATAGTTACCTAGTTGTGTGATGCAATAAAAGTACAAAATTCAACTAATTTAATAATTTTTTTGAAAAGTCTATCTTGCTCTTATTTGTTACCAAAAAGTTTTTTGCCATTTTTTTTTTCCTATTTCTATAATGCTAATGTGGTGACATGAAAGTGAAAAATTAAAATACCTTATGATAATGTGTTTCTTTATTGTTCAAAATGTTGAAATTCAAAATTTATTGTTAATCAAGTTCCAATTAAATAATAGTTAATACAAACATAATACCGCTTAAATTTGGTTATTACAAGTCCAAACAAAAACAAAAACAAAAAAGAGAATGCAATTGTGAAAGGCGAGGAATCTTCTTTGTTTCTAGCCTACAGATGCGATGAAACTGAAAACAGAGCCTGAAGTTGTTTCCCTCCCTCCATATATATACACAAATAGTACTTCACTTCTCTCTCTACAAACACCTTTCACTTTTGCACTCAAAAGAGCTCTCCCTACTTCGTCACCATAAGCCGGCTCAATAATGCCCCTCTTACTCCACATTTACACACATTTCTTTGAAGATTTTCATCAACTTTTGTTTGCGATGAATGAATCAAGGCTTTCATCTCTCTTATGTTGCATTTTTAGTTCTTCCCTAGGATTTCAAGATCTACATATACATATATAGATATATGGTTCTCTCTATATATATTGACATGCACGATGATTCATCCAGTATCTCTCGTTCTTTCTAATTTCTGAGCGATTGATTTTGTGTTTCTGTTTATGTTTGTGTGATTGATTTTGTTTTTGTGCTTTTCTGTGAAATATTTAATTGACAGATATGAAAGAATTAGACAGGTTATGAGATGTTTGATAGTGATAAATTGACAAATTGATGAGATTTCAATTGACATGATAAGAGGCTAATGCTAATTCTAGCCTTCTCTGCTCTCTTCCTGTCTATACTAAAGTTGACCTTATGAATTTTGTATTTATGTCTATTGTTCATTTTTATCTAATAAATTTATTTAATTATTATCATTCTTCCAACCATGCGTATTATAGATATAAAAATAATGAAAGTTAAAATAAATATTTTAGTTTAAAAAATATGGACAAGTTCATTTCCTGAATAAAGACATGGGTAAAAATAAAATATGTTCGGTATTTTTTTTATTTCAAAGAGTATGGTATAATTATGCCAAACAAACTATCAAATTAGTTAATTTCTTTTTTTTGAAAAAAATAGTATAACTAACAATTTTTTTTAAATTTAGAATTAAAAAATAGTATTGAATGATTTGCTGAGTAGAGCATACCAAAAAATAAAAAGGTTAATTTTTTTAAAAATAAATGTGACCTAATAATGTAATTATCGATATCCGATCAACACAATCTTTTAAATGGATGATCTGGATCTTACAAATAAATGTTTTATCTGGATCTTACAAATAAATGCTTTAGATCATTGAAGTAAACCTCTCTTCTAACACCACCTCTCCAATCGGATGCTTAATTAGAGAGAATTCAATTCCCAAGGCCAACAACAATTTTTTCCGTACGTGATCATCACAAAGATATAACATGGGCATACATGAAATCACATCTCAAAACTATGAGCAAGCCAATATAAAAAAGGCAACCGTTTGTTCTTCCTTACTTCAGTTGATCAATTAAATTAAAATAATCAATACAGGCCAGTTTGGTTTTACATTCATCATGTAAAGTATTATTCAGCAAGAAACAATAAAATATTTGCTCTGCAACACTAATCCTCATGAAACTCTCCCAATCATGAAGCACTGCACATATGTTTGAACTCCAAATCTGGACGGCCTCGGACAAGTTCATAAGTTAAAAACCCTCAACCATCATAACTGCATAGTATATTAGTGCGGCTTAAACAATGCAGTTATTTACGAAAAAATTCAAGACATTGAAAATGAAAGTAGATAAAGTTACAATACCGGCATTGCTAGAATGGTACTGCTGAGGAATAAGGGGTTCAGGCAAGCTTCCATTGACAGTAATGGATTGGCACAATGGCACTTGAATGACACGGTTACATTATGTCCACTGAGGCCATTTAATTGAACCGGTTGACCCCTTCCTCAAATTTAATCGGGAGCTGTCTGCAGAGTCGTGCCATACCATCTCCATCTGGTAGGCACCAAAAAGACCTTCAAATTTCTTACTGAAACTAAAAGTGGGAAATGTATACAAGATAAAGCTTTGAGTTGAAAATGAAGTTGGCAAAAGACAAAAAAATGAAACTTGATAAACACTATTGTATGAACTATTGAGATCTTTATGATCCGATAAAGAATCAAACTTAAAATGTTCATGCTATTCTATATTTCCTTGAAGATTAGTCCTCTCTATTTGGGAGATAAGCGGTAACAGTTCATCATGATTGATCAAATTCAACCCTGTGCTCCACATAGGTCAAACAAACCTTATCAGAATCATCGGCAACTTATCCTGTCAGTGCTTTATACTATGCAAGCCCTCTGTAATCTCATACATTTTGTCTTTATTCTTTCATGCTTCGGTTAGGTAAAATAATGAACTGGAAAGTCAAAGCAATAAAAACGCACCTCACCAACAACGACAGTGTCACCCTCGTTGACACCAAGTTTAATTAGAGACTTGTACACACCACATGCCTCCAAAACATGTTGGAACCTTCTCTCTGAATCTATGTATCTGTTGCAAAACATGTAAATAGTCTGAAGAGTTGCAACTCAAATGCCAAGAAAAAAGGAGGAATTTCTGACAAAAAAACAGCTGCCAATCTGAGGCCTTGTTTTCAGAACTAGAAGCAATTACATTATACAAACTTAACAAGGAAGAACAGATCAACAATACATCCAATTTTCGGCTGAAGACATGGAATAATTAAAAAAAGAAAGAAAAATGTGACAGACCATCGTCTCCTGCAGCGCATAAAATTTGGAACAAGAAAACAATGTCATAATATAATACTATGCACCCCTAATAGTGACATGTATATTGTCCACACATGGCTTCCCAGCCTTTGAATACATGGTTATGTCTATGGATTATCATGAGGAAAATAATTAATAATAAAATATAAAAATATTAAAAAAAAAGAAAAAAGAAAAAAGAAAAAAGACAAAAAGAAAACTTAGAGAAAAAACACTGAACAGAAAAAAACAAAGCAAAATAGGTTTGTATAGAATATTCCTATTCCTGTTGAAATTCAAATTCAGGTAATATCAAAACCAGGAATGTTCACAAAATTGATGTTTTGTGTAGATCACACCAAATATTATTAGTGAATTTTTACTCAATCAAAATGAATAATCCAACATGATCCAAAGATCCAGTTTCAGGCAAAATATTTTTGTTCAAAGCTGGGTTGTGCATGTCTAAATCTGATAGAACATGAGCTATGCACTCAATATGAGGAATATGAAAAATGCATTCAGTATCATGAGCTATGCACTGATAATTTGCAATTTGCAAGTATAAATCTGATAGAACATGACAGGAAGACTCACCACAAGACAATGACAGCAAGAAACGAGGAGAAAGGGTATAAAGGCAATAGCTATAGATGCAGGTAATGGGCAATGTACACATACCGCCAGTTTGTCATTTGAACAAAACGTTGTAACCCAGATCCAACTACATGCCACGTATTAGTACTGCTTTCATGAGAGATCTCAAACTCATTAATAGGGGCAGTTCGCTGCTTCTGCACCATATCAGCCACATGGTTCAAGTTTACTGGATTATTCCAACCTGTCAGACACCCAAAGGCAACACAAAAGAAGTAGAAGATTGTAAATGTATATAAACAAATATATACATACATAACCCTATATGTAATGTTTTGATTGTCTCATCTGTTCTCTCTCTCTCTCTCTCTCACACACACACACACACACACACTCACACACACACATAATAAAATCATAAAATAAATCCCACAATCACAGCAAAGGACAACCCCAAACCCAATGCATATTGATACTCTTTATTGGTATCGGTAGAAATGTGCACATAAGCACATGCACATTAGATGCACATATAAATAGATATACACAATGCATTCTAATGAAGAAAATAAGATAAATTTCCAACCTTCTTCCTTATTGTCTTCCATTCTTTTTCGTACAAGCTCATAGGCAGCACAGGTCACTTCATGAGTAGCCTCTCTCATAACAGCACTCATGCAAAAAGGTTCAATGCCACGAGCTTGCAAGTTTTCCTTGAATGATACCCACCTTTCAGATGCCTCCAGAAGATCCATTTTGTTGTAGGCAACTAAATACGGCTTTTCAGCAAGTTCAGGATTGAACAGTTCTAGCTCAAGACGAACTGCATCAAATTCATATTCAGGTTGCTGTGATGAACCATCAACAACATGTACCTAAGGTTCCATATTGATAATAGTTCTATTAGTCCGAAACGGAATTGGCCCAAGCAAATCCACAAATAAAATAGAAGTAGAATAACTCTACAACTGAAGTAAGAATAAAAGCTCTAGTTTCACAATCTCACAAAATAACATTGTGTGGCGAATTTCAAAAGCAAGAAACAAAATGTACAGCCATGACATCTTTCTTCAGTAATTACTCTATAAAGCAATGCTATTTCAAAATCTTAGTGAATTGTATCAGAGCAAGCACAATTTATGAGAGGGTTTATACCAAAGCAGAACATCTTTCCGTGTGCCGGAGAAACTCATGGCCTAAACCAAAACCTCGGTGTGCTCCTTCAAGTAAACCTGGGAGATCTGCTACGACCATTGTAGAATCATAGTCAAATGAAACAACACCGAGATTTGGAAGTAAAGTTGTAAAGGGATAGTTTGCAATAGCTGGCTGAGCAGCACTAATAACACTAAGAAGTGTGCTTTTCCCTGCATTTGGAGCACCTATTATTCCAACATCAGCTACCAACTTTAGCTCTAACTCCAACCACCTGATCAAAATGCTCACAAAATAATTAATAACAAAATTGAAAGACTTCCACTAACCATGGAAATTAGCTCTGAATAACCTTAAAAAGAAAAAAAAGCTCACGCCCAATGCACAAAGCTCCAGCTTATAACAAAGTCCAAGACTTAGAGAGGTAGTAGCTAGACAACCTTCCCCCCATTTCTTATGAAGAGACTACTCTTGAGGCCCCTTACTCATAAATACACCAACCATGAATGTTACCTCTAAAACCTGGATGAATTGGTATCCCGTGCATGTATGAACAACTTATTAATTCCACAAGTGAGTCTCACTATCAAAATCTTGGTGATCTAAAACTTTGTATCTCCAAATGCAGTGCCACTTGGCGTAGGAGATATTGCAATTGTGACCCATCTGACCCCCTAAAATGGTCAGACTCTTGTATACTGAATTGTAAAAATATAAATTAGTGAACTCAAAGAATATGAGCTATCATAATAGACTTTCTGCACTTTGTACAACAGTTGTTTATTTATTGACAAGCAACATAGTAACTATTTTAATGCACAGCGAAGGCATCAACCATCTACACACACGCATGTGCCAGCAAAAGAAACAACCGAACTAAACAGAACAAAACCCTATATCTCTCAACAAGGATGTACAAATCAAATAAAAAATCCATGAAACCATTTCCACGTGTTAAAATCAATATATGCAATTACCTATTGAAATTTTTTAAAAATTTGAACAAACAATTTAAGAACTTGAAAGACTCACAATTCTGGGCCCTCCTCTCCAATCTCCGCAATCTTTGGCACCTTGTTCGTCCCCGACTTAAAAGAAGCATTGCCTCTCCCTCCTCTTCCACCCGGCAACAACAACGCCCTCTGCCCCGGATACAACAACTCCAAAAGCACCTCCCCGTGCTCTCCATCCATGGCAGCCTCCCTAATAACCGTCCCTGGTGCCACCTTCACCACAACATCCTCTCCCTTCGCCCCATTCTGCTTCTTCCCCTGCCCATGGCTCCCCCTCCCTGCCCTGAAATGAATGTTCTGTCGAAACGGCAATAACGAATTCATCGACCCATCAACTTCCACATACACATTCCCACCCCTCCCTCCGTCGCCACCGGATGGTCCCCCAAACGGCACGTACTTTTCTCGCCGGAACGCCACCACCCCATTCCCGCCATCACCGGCCTTAACAAAAATCTTCGCTCTGTCAAAGCATCTCATCACCGCCGGCACTCCTTTCTCCTTCTCCTTCACTTCCTCTCCTTCAATTCCATCCCCACCAACCACATCCCCAGCTTCTCCACCCTCAAACCCTAACATTTCACCACCATAGTCCTCCTCCTCCTCCTCCTCATTATCATCGTCTTCGAATTCAGAATCAGAATTCACCTCGAACAATTCGAACTTTCCGTAAGAAAGCCCTAGATTTTCATCAAACAACTCTTCTTCTTGACTCGATTCGTCGTTTTCGATCTTTCGAGTTGAAATATTCAATTCGGATAGCTTGACCTCGGTTGAGGAGTGGAGAGAGGAGAGAAAGAAGTCGTCTTTGGGAGGGAGGCGGGTGTAGGTGGTGGCGTCGCCGCCGGAGACGGAGGAGAGAGGCGGCGGCGGCGGAGGATGGAAGTCACGGGAGGTGGTGCGAGTAATGCGATGGTGGTGGTTAGGGTTTGATTTGGAGAGCTTTCTGGGGAGGGGGTTGCGAGGGTTTGGAGTATTGCGAGCTAGGGCTTGTGGAGATATGTATATAGATAGAGATGAAGCCATTGTTGAATTCTCTCTACTGTTTTCTGATTCTCAAAGTCCCGAGTTTTTTTGCAGAGCCAGCATGGAGTGGAATGAAATGAGTGGATATAGCGGTTACGTGTCTTTGGCCACATGTCTGGATTTATATTTTCGACCAATTACACAAATAGTCCTTAAAAAATACTTGATTGACGTTTGACAAAAATTTTATAAATTAATTTTTGTTTATTTTTTTAAAAAATATAAATTAAAAATATATTTGATTTAAACAGAATATTTTAAAAAAAAATATTTATTCAAGTCTAAAATATTTATATTTATTTTTTATTATTTATGACAATAAGATCATACATATTATAATTGAAAAAAATTTATTTAAAAAAAAAATTTAGTCAAAATTTTAAATTTCTGTTTAAAAACTAACGTAAACTCATTTTTTAAGTTTACGTTTTTTTCTCAAATTTATAAACTGAGACAACTATTTATAAACCAAAAAAATTATCCAAAAAAGTTTTTATGATAATTTTTAAAAATTTTATAAATATAAACTGAAAACTGAAAATGAAATAATTACCAAACAGGCTTTTTTCGTTTTAATCTTAATTTTTCATTTATAATAAGGGAAGGGTTTAGGGTGTTTGGATATGTAAGGTACATATTATATGTATTTGTGTAAATTTTTATAAATATACATAAGTTATTTCATAAAATCACATAAATTTTTACAAATATACATAAGTTATAATTTCTTAAATTTTTATAAGTTAAATATTTATAAAAATTTGCACGATTTTATAAGATAATTTATGTATATTTATAAGAATTTACGTAAATATATATGATATATATTTACATACATAAGAATTATCCTTGAGAGGGTAATTTGTATAACCAAATTGGGCCGAGCTAGGAAGCACTGTTTCTGAATATTAGGCCGCACTAAGAGGTGGGCTATGGACCGGAATAGGGGTTGATAGCTCGGTCTTGGGCCAGGCTGGTCAGTTGTGACACTGAGGCTTGGACCTAGCTGTTTGAAGGAAGTTCTGTAGCAAATCGAGGTAACATCAATGACGAGGGCCGAGCTACGTATAGCTCGGCAGGTGGCATTCGATAGATCGGCTTCCGATCTATCGGTCCAAATGGTAGGGGACAGAGATAAGACAGCTCGGTCAGAAATGTATAAACCAAGCATAAGGAAGTGGCCATCTCACTTGGCTTGCAGTGATGAGGGTGTTTTAAGGATAAACATCATCTTTGGGCATGAGACTCCTAGGAAGACTCTGCTAAGGAGAGTAGAGTCTTGCTAAGATTGTGCAAACCATCTCACTTGGTTGGTAGTGAGTAGGGTGTATGATTCCTAGGAGGACTCTTATAAGGAGAGTTGGAATCCTATTAGGATTGTGCCAGCAGAGTCTATAAAAGCTCATAGCAGGATCTATATACAAGTATCACAACTTCACTAAATACCAAAAATACAAAAAAATAAAAATAAAAATTCATTACATTTTCATATTTTTGTGTATTTATTAATTTTTAAAAATATTTTTTCACAAATATTTTACTATTTAAATACACCTAAGTAAAGTGCATCTAGAAAAATAAAAGAATTATTTAAAATTTTAAAAATATTCACTAGAAACAAAAAGAAATATGAAAATAAAAAAAACTCAGTTTTTTCAAAAAACTGAAACCAGACACACTCTTAGTTTTTTTTTTGCACATAATTTTTTTTTTTTAGTTTTTTCAATTTTAAAGTTGATGCTTCAAAATTTTGAAAATTAAAATAAATATCAAATCATCATGTTCTTTTATAAATAATCATAAATGATGAACAATCATAAATGATGAACAATCATTATTTAAAGGGCAATTTTAACTATTAAAAGTTTAGCCTCCGTTTGGGAAGTGGGTTGGCTTTTTGATTTTTTAGTTTTTTTGGCTATTTTAGCCTGGGCTTAAAAGCTTGGTTTGGGAAGGGCTTTTTGGCTTTTTGACTTTTTTGAGTTTTTTTGTGAGAGAAGAATGTAATGATTATGGGTTGGATGTGATGGTTTGTTTGTTATGGCTAAAATAGCCTATTTTGTTTTTTGTGGCTAAAATAGCTAAAAAAGCTTGCAAACCCACTTGCCAAACACAAATCTTAATTATGACTTAATAAAGTATAAGTTCATAAATTAAGACTCGTGTGTAAATGTCCCTAAAAAAATTAGTATATTTATAATGACTTTTTAAATTATTATTAAAAAAAAGTATAAAAAGTAAAAAGAAAATCGAATTTTTGACTTTTGTATATAATTTATTAACTTTTAATTTTAAGCTAGGGTTCGTTTGTAAAGAACTATTTTAGCCTGACTCTTTGACTTTTTGCCTAATTTAGCCGTTTGAGAAGAATTTTTTAAAACTTTTTTGGTTTTTTTAGAAAAAAAGTGAAATAATTATGGTTTGAATATAAAATTTTACCATATTGACTTATTTAGTCTATTTTGTCTTTTCGTACTTTTTAAGTCCCAACTAAAAGCCAACCCATTTGCCAAATAGGAGTTAAAATTTAAAGTTGCCAAATGGAGATAAATTTTAAAGTCGTCAAATTTTAAATTTAGTTAAAATTTTGATAAAACTTAGATCTAATTTATTCATCAAATTTTTAATAATTATTTTTACTTAAATTTGAAAAAATTATTAACAGATGAAGGATTGAAAATTAATTTTATTTTTCATTGAATTTGTTAAATAAGGTTTTTAGATGGGTTAGGTATTTTTAAAAATATTTGATGAAAATTTTGATTTACACTTTTGGAAAAGTGAGCTATATATCAAATGGTGCTTTTAATTTAAATTGTTGAATAAATTTGATGGAAAATATATATATATATATATATATATAATTGGAGATGTTGCAAGAATAAAATAAAATAATTATCTTATTACATTCTCACATTTAATTTATTAAAAAATTATTAAATAAAATAATCATTATGGTCTAATTTTGTCAACTGACAACAAATTCCACGCGGCATTGAAACTTTCCCGTTGAATTTTAATTTTGCGTCATAAAGTATTACATTTTCCCACAATCATGTTTTTTGGTTAGCAACCAATTAAACCACATTGACACAATTTGAATATTTTAATTATCAAATTGAAGAAAAAAATTAAAGTCTAAAATGGGATTTAATCAATACTTTAGATAATGTAAATGTAATTTAACAAACACTTGGAACTCGGTTTCCTTAAAAAAAAAAAAAAAAAATTCTCATATATATGTTTAATTGTTACTCAAAAATTCTATTTTAAAAAAAATTAAAATTTAAAAACTGTCACGCCCCACTTTTTATTACTCGAAATCATTACCAAATTCATTAATTTAATCCAATTTCAGAGATAACATGCGGAAAAACTCTTTAGCTCAACGAGTAGAAAAAAATAACAATTCTCTCATTCGAATGCAAATTAAATACAACATAAGCATACTAAATAAATTGCCCGTGGGCTTGCATCATTAAAGGGTCAAGAAGAAGGGTGTAACCCTTTTACATAAATGTCATTCCACCAACACAGAGAGGCCCCGTGGCCAACAAATAAGAAGATCCAAAATCTTGTAGCACATTTTGACTATCACCTAAAAACGATTCAACAACGTGGGATGAACATATAGTTCAGTAGGGATCTCAACATGATCCTCAACAATAACAACTTACAGATAGCTATGATCATGAATGCCCAATCTCATACTAGAATAGTAATGTGACAGTTTATACAAAATATACATATATGTGAACTTTTCTCAAAATCAACCGTTTCAATCAACACTATAAGCGATTCACTTTCCTTTTCTTTTCGTTACCTCTTTTTCCAAACTTTCATGACAATGACAATTCTAGAAAATAATTTCACCAAGCCCATTACTTTTCTCCCATTTTCCGTACGTACAACAGATTCACCCTATTTAAAAGAAACACGTTCACAAATACTCGACTTCCTTCACACTTTCCAAATCTCAAAATAGCATTTATGTCTGTTTCCAATACATTCATACCTATACATGCATACCTTTAGTAAAAAGGGAAACAACAAATCACCAACAAGTATGTGATAAACAAATGAGGCGACTCGACCTTTCAAAACCATAACCATCGTAACCCATAACATGCTTAGATACACTGAGACAAGGATGATAAAAAGCCCTGCTCTACCTGCCATAAGCACGGTAAGTTAAGGATACACCTTACAACAAATGACATACCAAGTTCTCCAGACACAAGCTGAAAGGTACTGGTACCTCTACCAAGTTCTCCAGACACAAGCTGGAAGGTACTGGTACCTCTGCCAAGTTCTCCAGGCGCTAGCTGGAAGGTATTGGTACCTCTCATTCTAAGCGCGGTATATAACACCAATAATTTCAACGCGACGAAACATGACCAACAAGTGTAATACATACACATAAACTATTCAATAATATTCAACCAACACAGGTGTAATACATACACAACAATTCAACACAACAATGTCATCCTCCACCGATGACCAAGGACAGAACCTCTAGATGCAGGTATTCAACACACTTACTAAAAAGACTCAACTCTCATGAGATCTTAAACCCAACAACGACACTAGTACGTTAGTTAAAGGTAAAACCCCCAAATGTGTATATTCAACACTCATGATATAATAGTTCACTCTCATATTCATTTTTCGAGACCTACATAGAATTATCATTTCATTTTCCATTTCAAGATCAATTCTCATAATTTTTCGGGTCAACATATTCCACTACTTATTCTGTAACGCCCTCAAAATAATACATTTAAACCCAACATTCATGATAGCCATAGACATAGGTGAATAAAGCATAATTCCATTTATCAGAGTATTCCTTACAAAAGTATTACATGTTGACAACAAAAGTAAATGCCCTACAGGTTTACAACTTTCCAAGCCAACACTTGGTTACAAAAAGAGAGTACTAACTCAAATACACTTTAAGCCCTTGGCTTGAATTTACATGTAATACCAAAAGAGAACAACAAAAAGATCTATCAGCCCCAAAGCCTCCCAAGCTACGTCCTTGGAGGTGGCATATCACCTGAACCTGAAAATGATGTCCCATATGGGGTG